ATTTTAAAAAAATTTTATAATTACTAACTTTTTTATATATAAGTATTATTAATTTTACTATATAAAATTATTAATTTGTCATTCTCCAAGCAGTAGGTCCAGAGTTCAAATCCCACTGATAGTAAAAATTTGGAAAATGGTCTTATTCCAGCAACTTATTTGGGGTATCTGGGGTTGTAACCCTGTAATTCTAGTTGTACCAAAACTAACTTTAAGAGTATGCAATGTCATATGAATAAATCCAGAAAGTATATACTTTATAAGAAGCCCTGTTTGTTAATTCCAAGTAGAGAGGTAATACAATCTTCGATATACCACCTGTAAAAATCTTGATCCGGAGACAGAAACCTGAGGCAGATGGCCTGTACAGGCAAGAACTCTAGATAAAGGGGTTCACCAACCTGGTTACTAGTTGAACCAGTTATAAAGTCACATCATATAAAGCTAACTGAATTGGTAGTATAGGAGGACTTGCAAGGGTGAACAAGGCATCAGTAAGGTTGTAAAGGGGGGTACTGGAGTTGTATGAACTCTACAAGGGTATAGCAGTTTAATGGTTAGCCCTGACTGCAAGTGTTGGCTCTGGGTCAATGTGATATCAGGTCAGCTAAAAATTGGATAACAGAAGGCTCTGGTGGGTTTAGTACAAGGTTAAAGGTTCTTCATGTGAATGAACTGCTTTAAAAACCTAGTGACCATGGTAAAATGCACTGATGAAAACTGGGCAGTTAATAGAGTAGGTAGGTGGGTGGATACAGGAACCAGAATATTTAAATAAAGGACTCACAGATGGGTTCTAGATATGACAAACTACTTAAATTAGACAATGACTAAAGTTGTACAAGTGGCTAGTTGTACACTCTTCCTATAATTGTCCTCTGTAACTGTTGTATACAATTACAAAACTAAAACATATTATCAATAAAAAACTTGAGTTGCAAGTACTCACCTTTAATATTAAAAAAAAAAAAAAAAAAAATTAATTTTTTATATAGTAAACTAATTTTAATAGATAATTTTCTTTTTATTATAACTTTTTTTTTATATAATATTACAGGCAAAAAGTTCATAATGACTTATGCATCACGATACATTGTACAAGCGCCAATCAGGACCCAGGATCGATTATGCATGATTGATCCTATAATGGTAAAACATGCATAATCATGCTCCCAACACCCAAACAATCCTAGCATGATGAATACAACCAAATTGGGGTTGGCATAAGGCCATAAATATGGTGTTTCAGAGTGACAGGTTAGTATAGTTGCATTAAAATAAAAATACAATAGAACAAATAGCATACAATACTTACCTGGTTTAGGTAAAACCCATAGTGATATGATTACATAGTAGCAGAATAGTGGGAAAATAGAAGTGAAACCCAAAAATAAATAGAATTTATTAGTAAAGACAAAAATTGTATAAAAAAGACAAAAGTTAAATAAAGAAATACTAATCTTGAACACCCCAAGTAAGGGGAAAAAAAGGGTTAAAGTTGTCCTAATAAAACTAATACTCGTCAAATCTTTATTCATGCCTTGAAGCCTTATTTTGTCAATTCATGACGTTATGCAAAGTCTTGTTCGTTGGAGCGACAGACTTGCCATTTACCTGTTACAATAATAATCATAGTTGAAATTTTGCAGGTTTATACACAAATGTTACACCAAAGTACTTGTGTAGTAGTACAAAAAAATATTCAATTATGATTGGTTAATTTAAAAATATATTAAAAAATTTCAATTTTTTAATTTTTTTTTAAAAAATTTGACCAACTTTGAGATTTTTTTAAACAATATGTAATTAAAAATTAATTTAATTTTTTTTATAAATATATTCTATATATCTTTAAATATTAAATATATTTATTTAATTACAAGTTAATATGTAAAATTTTGTGTAATATGACCTGTGAGTCAATAGCAAAGTGGTTACGCTCCCAGGTCACCAATCGCAAGGTTGCTGGTTCAAGTCAGACAGGGGACAAAAACTGAGTTAGGACCATGATTGTTGATTAATCACATCTAACAGTGCTCTACGAAAATAGGAAGATCTTCGGTACCCAGATTCTTAAATAGCGACAGACCTAACTTAAGAAGGCTGTGATGATTAGAAGGCTGAAAATAATAATAGAACAAAGGAATCCCCGATTAGGAATAATTCCGATGAAATTCTAGGGTAATAGGAACACAAAATCAATAGATAGTACTGTAAATGTACATAAATAAATATAAATTGTAAAATGTAGATAGGGTCCTGATAGAAGGTCCTGTGAACTTAAAAATTTGAACTAATAAAACGACTGCTACACACAGCCCACTAGCGACCATGCAGTAGAAAGTTAAAAAAAAAAAAAAATTTTGTGTAATTACATTTTAATTCAAATATATCAAGTTGGTAAATCATGCTTAATGAGATGACCAATATTTAGTTAATAATAGTTAATAATTTTAATAATTGTTAAAAAATTGTTATACAAGCAGTTTAATTACTGCATATGTAAGTAATTGTTTGGGTCAAAATCTTGTCAAAATCTTGACAAACCATTCTGATAAACAATTCTAATAATTAAATTCCTGGCAACAATTAATTAGAATTCAGCTAATACTAAATTAATGCATGCGAACTTGTTAGAATTTTGGTTAATAAGTGTGCTATGATTGTCATTTATTAACACAAAAATTAAATTCTAATAATGTTTACTTTATTAAAAAGTTGAAATATAAATAAGCATATTCATATTAGAGTGATAAATGGACTAAGTAATCAAAACTATGTAAGGTAACTCTAGAATTTAATATATTGCAAATTTTTTATATTATATAAAAGAAAACAATCATTTGATACATATCAATATAACAGTAATATTAATATATTTATTAAAAATTTCAAAATAATTCAACTTACTAAAAAGGCAAAGAAATTTTCACAAAATGTCTATAAAGTGTCAAAAAACAAAGTTATGTTTGAATATTTTATGTTAATATGTAAATTTTAGGTTTTCAACTAATAGAATATATAAATTTATTAAAAAAAATTCATACAATAAGAATAAACAAAAAAATTCACTAGTGCTTTTGTGAAAAATTGAGTGTAACTTTTTAGAAATAATTCTTATGAAGAGATTTCACTCTAAAGAAATTAGAAAAAAGAAATGCAATATTCAGAAGAATCTTGTACTTTTCTTTATAATTAATTGAAGTAAAATGATATTTTAGTCAATCATTTTTAATTTCACTGATAAAATCTCATCATATTAAAATTACTAATATACCTGACATAGTTTTGATTACTTAGTTCATTTATCACCCTAGTATCTATATACAATTAATAAAAGTTTGTTATTTCACAAACAAGAAAAAAAAAATAATTGTCTCCTGAAATACCACGTAATGTATAGTATAAGAATATACCTGAACACTACTTAAAAAATGTATATATAGAAATATTGCATATTTTTTGCCTGCGTAATACTAATACTAAATAGCACGCTATACATTATTAAGTAATTTTTAGTTAATAACTCAGGAAACAGTTAATAATAATTAGTAATTATTAATTATGCAGAAGGCCCATCACTACACTGTGTAATTAATATAATAAAAGGTTTCTTTAACTACAAATACAAATAACATGCATTTTAATTATTATTATAATTCTATTTAATTTTAGAATATCTACCAATTATATTATCTTTTTCAAATTGAGTTGGTATATTCTGCATGTAAAAAAAATTAAATCGATTTTCACATTCCATAATTTCAAAGATTGCTGATTTTCGATTTTTATATGTACTGCCATCTTTCATAGATTTTTGAAAAAAATGTGAAATATGGTCATGATTTTTTTTTTCTACACCACAACATGAAAATGCCGAAAGTCCAATATTCCAATATATATCCATGAATTTAGGTACATGATATATTAGCACGTGGATATATGGAGTTATATCTGTTGGTCGATAAAGACTACGAACAAATCCTGGTGAGTTTCTATTGCCCTGTGACTTGGTTAAAAACAATTTTAACCATTGACGTGCTTTTTGATGAAATTGGCTACCAGATATATTTAATTTATGCATATCATTATACAAATCAATAAAACCGTTCCACAATTCTCTAATTATAGTAGCCCTTTGAGGAGTAAATATAATATTTAAATTAAAATTTCTTAAAATATTAAGCTTGTCATTTCCTGATAATGTTGTATATAGCCAAGATTTAGTATCATGATCTTCCCAGAATTGGAAATGAACTTGAATACGATTCATTTCAGAAATAATTACTTGGTGTATTTGATCATTAAAACACTGCATACTACGTAATTCACTTAAAATTAGTGTCCATAAACGGTTAAAGATTCACAACATTAGATGAAGTTCATCTACGATCCAGTTACAAATAGGAATCATCAGAAATAATGGAGGGTGTTTGTGTCCTGGTATTGATTGATAGTATTGCTTAATTTCTTCCATATTTTTGCTAATAACCCAATTATCTTGTCGCTGATTATTTATTTCTAAAATACCATTTTGAGACTTATCAATCGAACACCAAAGGCAAAAATTTGCACTATTTGCCAATTTATATCCCAAACAAATACTGAGAAACTTCCAGTCTGCAGAAATATAAAGTTTAATTTTCCATTTATATCCATTTTCATCGATAAATCCTGTTTTAAGATTATATAATTCTGCTATCAACGGGGCTAATGCAACATTTAATGTATTATAATTTTCTACTCCAGAGTAAATTAGCAATGCAAAGTGAGAATTTGACTTAAAAATATTCATTTTATTTAAAACTGTAAATGTTACCATTACATGTTTAACCTTTTGTCCGACATTTCTACCATCCCCAGAAATACGGATATGCAATGTTTGTTCTGAATAGTTAAGTATACCTTTATTAATCATAGATGGTATAAGAAACCTTAAAATATCTTTAATTGAACGTCTTGCTCCCTTTCCTATTGTGCTTTCAACTCCATTAATAATATCAGGGTCCATAATATGTATTTCAAGACTAGTATTTAATTTCTCTTTAAATTGTTGTAATTCAACTAAATGAATCAGAATATTCATACTCATAATTTGATTAATTTGGTTTAATCTTTCAAAAATGATCCATTCACGTGGTAAATCTTGACATATAGCTGCTAGAGCTCTATACGATGATCTTGATATTCGATTATAATCCATAGCTTGTATTATAGCCATTTGCTGATTAACTTCATCTTCTTTAGGCTGATACATTATTCGAACCTTCGATTTATTTACTGTAAAAACTAGTTCATTAATCGTAACCTTATCCTCTGCAGCAAAATATTGCTTTATTTGACTTTCAATACCAGGTAAGATATTCATACTGAAGTTTTTATTTCGTGTAAATTGCATTTGTCTTGTTATATCACCAAATGGTTTAATAACATTTTTATGTTTTTTCATAGAATTTTCCCGTACTAGTTTAATTTGTATTAACTGTAATCCAAATAAATAAATGCCATTCATTCTGCTATCTGGTAATCGTTGCTGTAACTGGTTAATAAAAATAAATTATTAAAAAATTAAATAAAATTTTACAAATACTACAAATACTATAAGTATATATACATTTGGATCCTTGGCTTTTTCCTCCCTCATAACTTTCTCATGATATGCTTTTAAATAGGCATTCGCTGCAGCCGTTGGTGAAAGATTTGAACATATATATTCATTTTCATGTAAGCCGAATTTTATTTTATATTGAGGTTTTTTATCATGGTAATTAATAAAACAAGTAACTGTTTTTTCATTCTTCCCGTAGGTTGTTTCTACAACATAATTATCGGGAATTGGATAGTGACCTGGCATTCTGGTATAAGCAAGGTAAGACTTAGGTGGATAGATACCCTCCTTTACAATATAATATTGAAAACTTCTTCGCGGTGACTTCCATTTAATTGTATGATCCATGGAATAATTTGAATTTTCCTCACCAATTTCCTTCATTTTAAATTAAAAATGATTTTTGGATAAAACCATTCGTATGTATTATCATTATATTATTTTATTTATATTATACGTATAGTATATCATAGTTTAGATCAGAATAATTATGAGGTCAAGTAGTCTATTACACGTAATTACATAGATGTGCGTCAATTAGATAACTCACAATCAGCAGTCAAATTTTTAAAATTTTGGGGTATTTGACAAATCCGCCGTAATGAAACTAATAAAACAATTTAAAAATACTAAGAAAAATATAAAATACAATAATATAAAAAAAAGTAAATTCTATTACAGTATCTTTTATCAAAGTTTGTTAAAAATTTTAATACTAGATTTTTTTTGTTAAGTTATTTGAAAATTTAGTAAATTTTGATTGAATATATCTTAGCAACCAAATTCAATAAATTTTTTTATTTGAATTTTACAAGTCTGTAAATTTGAATAAAAAAAGTTAATTAAATTTGAATAAACAAAACTTTAAAAAATTTAAAACTTTTAATATTATTTTAACATAAAATAATTTACCATCTGAGGTGCACTCCAAAAAACTTTATACATATAATTTTATCTTTTTTTGTATAAAACAAATAACATAAAGAAGAATGATTGTACTTTGATATAATAAGTAAAATTGTTTAACACAAAAATATTATGTTTTTATTAAATTTGAATATTTTTTTGACCAAACCTTTTTAAATTCTAGTAAAATTTTTATTTTATTTTATTTTAACCCGAATTTAAAAAATTTAGGGCCAAAAAAGTAGATAAAATGTCCGAAAATTTGCTATTAACTCAACTTGTACCTCTATTAGTGTTATCAGAGGTCCTGGCTAAGTCGAAGCCAATCATCTAATCATTGTTTGTCTTTAGAAAATTATCGTATATTTTCCTAAAATTTTTTAAATTTGATTGGTTGCTGTAATTTTTAAAAATCTAGCTTTACAAATAATTATGAAACGAATTCTTTAATTTGTATGATTATAATAAGTGGAACTTACAAGAAAAAGAAAAGATTCATATAAAAAAGTGAAATTTCGATTAATATTTGGCGATTTTAGTCACTTGTTAAAGCTACAATATTAATGCCAATAAATACTATATACAATATTTTAACAAAATTATTTATTAACCAATAAAAAATATTTGGTTCTAATTTACACTTAATCGTTTACATAAATAAAATATGCATCATTTGACTGGAATTTGGATCTGTTAGATAATAATAAACAACATTTGATTGGACGCCAAATTTTACAAATAGCGTCAGAGAAATTTAATTTAAAAATTATTCTACAAATAGTGAATTTATTCTGCAAAAAGTGAAGTACTTTTTAGCAAAATTCGCACTCTTGCCAATCTTTTAGTAAAAGGAATCCAAGTGCACAACTTCCTGCAACCATCTCTACAAACGCTAAGATGTTAGGAATAAGACGTTAACTGAGCAGCAAGGTTATGATCGTAGCATGCTAGCTCGTCAAACCGCAATGCAACTAAACAGTTTCGTCAATTCCTAACAATGCATGTGAATCATTTGGATTTGATATTTTTAATAGCAATCAAAAAATGATAGGAATTAAATTACCTGCAATATCTGCTACACGATTTTGAATACACTCGGCTACTGCAAAAGTCCAAAGAAATTTCTGCGAAATTATTTAAGCAACACCTTCAGGTAATAAATCATTATATATGAAATAATTACTTGTAGGTGGAACGTAAGATTCCGGCCGAGTAACAAGCGGCTGTGGTTTGCTACACATGATGGCTTCCATGACAGCATCAACTTCTTCGTCTGAATCAACAATTCCATCTTCTTTTTCATCGACTTCTACAATGCTTCCATCTTTCTTGCTATTTTCTGGTTTGTTATCTGGCACGCCATTATCTTTATCAAAATAGTGTGGTTAATTGAGTTGATAATAATGTATATAAACACCAACTTATCGCAATAAATTATTTACTTTGTGGGCGACCAATTGATTTCTTCGGATACTGAGAGAGCAATGTGTTAAATGGTTGTGAACGACCCTGAACTGCTCGTTTCAAGGCCATAGAATGACTTTTACAAGTCAATGAACGTGAACACTGCGTACCAGTATGTTCAACTACCCCACATTGTTTATCCAAGTCAATGGGACCTATTAATGTTAGATATCGAAAATGCATCAATAAATACAGTTTGAATTATTTCTATTCAGAAACAAGTTTATCAATTACCTTTGTTCCGTTTGGTTGATTTAGATTTCTTTTCTTTTTCCTTCTTAATTTTTTGTTTTTTTACGGGCGACGATCTCGTATCTGATGCTGACATAGAAACTTTGGTCAATATTGATCGTTCTATCAATTCGGCTATCAAGATTACCATAAGCAATGGTTATTTATTTTATCATTCAAAAAACGGAATGCAGTGAAGAAAAAGTAAAACACACCCTCAGAAGTAACGGATCGTTTACGTTTTTTATTTGGAACATATGCGTTTGCTATGCTTTCTATGTTTTTCATGTTTTTATTTACAGGTATTTCATCTACAGGCATTTTCTTTGTGGATCTCGAGGACATTGCCATTATCTTCACACAATTTTCTAAATTGGGGAATAAGTGTGTTAATTACATAGAAACAGTTTAACTAATAAATCGGATTTTATTGTATGTAAAAGAAAAAAATGAAGCGCACAAAATACCAGTATGCTCTACAAAACCACTAGCGAATAGTTTTTTCGAACATGAATTACATTGTATTACTCCAGACTCTTCTCTTGCGGGTTTGCACCCATAAGTCTTCATATGTAAAAACGTTGTCAAGGATTGTAAAAGAAATGCATTGTGACAAATCGTATCGTATAATTAAAGGATATCTTCATATTTGAATCTAGACACTGCTGACGGCGGGACGTTGACTTCTTGAGAAGTCAACACAACGTCTTCTTCGTACTCGTCTGTGAAATATGATATGTGCGAACGAAAGAGTACTTAACATATTTAACTAAAAAAGTGTGAAAGGTAGGATTCGTGCAAACCTTCGTCTAAAACAGCTTCTTTCAAATCACTCCACGAAGAATAAGCTTCTAGCGGCACTTCCCGTGAAGTAACAAGCGGAGTTTGAAGGGGCTCTGTCCATTCATCTTTAAAAAGTGATATTGAAGCAGGTGACAGTAATGACATCCAATTGGGGTTCATTGTCGTGATATTTCAAGCAATATACTTGAGTTAAAAGTGCATTAATAAAAGTACAATATTAAATTCTATTAGAAGTTTTGAAAAAAAAATAAGTACAATAAAGAATTAAGATGCAGGATTACGAAAAAAAATTTTTTTGCTATACCAGATATATATTAATAAAATTTTAACGACCAATCAGCCGTTTCCACAATTGATTTTCAGCACTAAGCCAAATTATGATGATCTTTTGTACTTATTTTTTCTGGATAGTAACGAAACATAATATAACCGGTTTAGAATCCACTTTCAAAGAATAAAATTATGCCAAGCTCGGAAACAATTCCTAAGCTCCCTACAAAAGATTATTCAACTCAAGTGGTTACAGCATCACAGTCAAGCGCTAGTGGTAATCCTTTTGAAGAAGTAAATACTTCAGAGGACGAAGCTCAACGTCTCGCACGTATAAAGAAATTATTCGAGGAATTTGATCGTGAAAAGTCTGGCGTTTTAACCCGCGTAGCCATTCAAAATGGCCTAAAAAGATTAAAGGATCATCCGGCCCAAAAAAAATATGCTTCAGAACTTTTGTTAAAATGTGACACGTCAGAAGATGGTCTAGTGGATTTTCAAGAATTTAAAATTTTCGTGGAGGAGAAAGAAAAAGAGTTGATGAAAATTTTTTTAGATATTGACAAATCGCACGATATGAGATTGCAACCTGAAGAATTGGAAAACGCGTTAAAAAAAGCAGGTTTTTCTTTTTTTACATTACTATTACTATTACTATGATAAGTGCTGATCTCATTATTATTATTATTATTATTATTATTTTAACAGGTATCAATTGCACAAAAGTAGAATTAAAGAAATTTATTGATACTATGGATAAAGATGGTAATGGTGTCATAGATTTTTCAGAATGGAGAGATTTTTTATTGGTATGTTCAAAGCATTATTATATTTCTTTATCCAGTTGACCCTCTCAGAATCGGTATGCATGGTGGACAGGTTTTGTATCAGCTTTAAGAGGTTATCGGATTTGAAAACATAGCAAATAATTAGATTTATATAACGGGAACGGACTTGGTAGATTAATTTTTTATCAGATTTGACAGGTTATCGGCTTTGACAGGATCGGTTTTGAGAGGGTTAACTGTACATTGCTAGCATTCATTTAAATTTTTTTTTTTTTGAATGGAAGGCAGTTTCTTCCTCGAGAAACAACGTTGTTCGAAATATACGAATATTATCAAGTGGTCACTCAAGTCAGTATTGACGGTGAAGTGATAATACCGCCAACTGATCCAAAATATCTTGTTGCTGGTGCGATTGCAGGTGCAGTTAGCCGGACAGTTACTGGTATTGTGACATTCGAATGATTCATATATAATTCAAAGTTTTCTAAAACTTAGCGTTATAAACGTACTGAAGATAGGGAATATTTACATAGCGCCACTTGATCGGCTTAAGGTTTATCTACAAACGCAAACAAAAGAACTGGCCCGAGGAAGCGAGATTCTGTTCGGTTCGAAAGGCTTTAGCAACCTTGTTAATGCAGTAAGAGCGTTATACGCCGATGGTTTATTAAATTTTTTTAGAGGCAACGGGATAAATGTTGCAAAAATCGCACCTGAATGTGCGATCAAATTTTTTGCTTACGAAAAGTCTAAAACAATTATCGCGCATTTAATGGACAAACAAGATATTGGATCAATAGGAATGACTGGCAGGTTCCTCTCGGGTGGTCTTGGTGGTGTTGTATCCCAGTTTTCAATATATCCCTTGGAAACTTGGAAGACCCGCGTTATGAGCTCGAAATATTCAAATTCCAATGGAAGTCTTTTAATAAATACGGCAAAGGAAATGTGGAGAACACAAGGTTTTCGATCATTTTACAAAGGATTAATTCCTTCGTTGTTAGGAATGTTTCCCTATGCTGCTATAGACATGAGCGTATATGAAACTTTAAAGTTGACTTTTATCAAACGAGAAATGTCAAAAAAGCCAGGAAAAGAACCAGAGCAACCAAGTGCTTGGGTATCATTAGTTTGTGGTACGATTTCGGGATCTATTGGTGCGACTATTGTTTATCCTTTATCATTGGTTAGAACTCGGTATGTTGTGCAAATCGCTTATAATAAATTTCATAATGTCACTCATTTATTAATTTCTATAATGTTTGATAATAGTTTACAGGCACAAGGTACCCCGGGCCATCCTCAAACTTATACCGGTGCATTAGATGTAATTCATCAGACCTATGCCAAAGAGAGAATTAAAGGATTCTATAAAGGGTTAATTCCCGCGCTAACTAAGGTAACAATTAATGATATTAAATATTTAATTATAGAAAGCACTTGGTAATAATAATTATTAAATAGGTTGTACCTGCTGCAGCCATAACTTATGTGGTTTATGAAAAAACCAAATCAAAATTGGCTATAAAATAGTAAGTATAAAGGCTTGGGATATATGTAGCTTCAAATGAGTGACGAAAAGGGAAAACCTGTAAATCATTTCACTCATTGAGTGAGATGATTTACAGGTTTTCTCTTTTCGTCA